AAAGAAAGAAAAAAAAAAAAAAGAAAAACCAGATCAGAGTTGTTAGGCCATTGATGGAGTTAATATTAATTGATGCTTTTATTAACCAAAATAGAAATGGAAAAAAATGGTGCTTGGCTATATCTTTCTAATTGCAGAACTAATTATAAGTAACATAATTCAATCAAAATATACCAAAGAACTTTTCTTATCCTTTCTCCTTTGGTTTCTCCCACTCTACAGGCTTTCCAGTGACCTTAGAAACACCCCCACACCATATGTCCACCTCTAATTTCTTTCTTATCTCCCAATAAAACAGCCATCTGGGGGGCGTTTTTAAATGTTCAGATGTAAAGTGCTTAAAATATCAAGAAAAACCTATCTTTATAGGGAGTAAGAAAATATAAAAAATATAACTGTTAGCAGTTTCCCATTTTATGCCCCCAACATTCATACATCCTTTGCTATGCATAATAAGTGAACCAATTCTAACTAGAAGGATGGTTTCAACATCCACGCAGCAGCACACTAATGTTCGTCAGCCCTTTGCAGCCATGCTTCAAACTCTCCATACATGTGTGTCCACATTTTGCTCCAGTGTAAAAGTTTTCTTCGCTCCGACTGAGCTGGCTGACTGCTTTGCAAGGTCTGTCAGATAATCATGAAGTCAAGCCAGTTGTAGGAGAAGGTATAGGGAATTTACTTGCTCCATGAAGGGCCCAAGGAGGTGCTCACCATTAAGCAGACATCAGAGGAAATACATATATATTTACTAATGCATTGAATAACTTTTCGCAATGGAGGAAGAATGTTTACTCACGCTATAATCTATTCAACTCAAAAATGCAGAATTGAGAGGCTTACAAAAACACTAAACAAACAAAAAACAGTGCAATAATTGAGGATCACTTTAATTCAAAAGAATCTTAATTTAAGGAGAAACTTAAAGCTGTTGTCTCATATCCAGTATTTGAAAGTGAACCCCAAAAAGTTGGGAATCTGGAAACATGCATTTCTAGATCTGACCTCTAGAGGTGCTGTCTCACCCTGGTTATCTTTTAGTTTGGACAACTCCTCCCTCAAGGGAGATAGGACCGAAGTTTCTCAAAAGGAATTTCACCAAGAAATAAACACATAGAAAAGATAGACATAAGACAAAAACAAAACATAAGAAACACACAGACTCGAATGGCATTAAGGGGTGTGTGTGTACATATGTTTAATACTCACTACATACTATATATGTGCACATGTACATATATGTTCAACATGATGTGTGAATTATTATGCTAAAAATCTATATACATTATTGTTCTTCATGCAACAAATATTGAATTTAACTACTGTTATAAGCACTGGGGAAACAGCTTTGTATCTGAGTCGGGGAAACAGGAAACAATACAGTAAGCAAACAATCAGTTTGAAGAAAAATAGAGTAACTGGAGTATTATTTTAGAAGGCCTGTTCAGTAAAAGTCTCCATGGGATGTGACATGAGGCTGAGACCTGCATGAGCTAAGGCTATAAGCTCCACAGAGACAGGACAAGAGGCAAATGCAAAGGCTTAGCCCTTTGGAGCAAGTCATTTTATCACAACAACTTTATGTATGGGGAAAATGGGGCTCACAAGGGAGCAAAATGACCTTTCTGATATTCTGTGGCCAAGCAGCAGCATTTACAGCCATATATCTGACGGGCTGTTCTACTTAGATTATTTCCTCTCCAATTGGTTTTACCAAACTTCTGTCCAGGCCCCATCCTTTCCATTGCTCTGTCATTTTCTAGTCTCATTTCCTCTCCCCAAGAGACTGGTAATTCCTCTTTTAAATCTTCTCTAACTCTCACAGGAAGAAAACTTAATGACAGCAGTTGGCACCAACCTCTATCAGAGGGAGTGCTACTTTATTCCTGCAGCTGTTCTCCCTTCCCACCTGTAAGCCCTTGAGGGGAAGAGAGGGACTATTATCATTTACCTTTGCAGACCAGGCAACTAGCACAGCCCTTCGCATAGAAGCAATTAAGAAATAAACTTGTAAAAACTATTTGAGGGAAGGATGGAGGAAGAAAGAAAAAAAGGGAGAAATATTTTTAGTTTAGGATGTAACACAATTTAGAAAATGAGAATAAGAGATTGCAGAGAGAAATAAAGGTAGCTTCACACAATTTCTAGACCTCTTATTAGCATTGTATTATCTTTGCTTCTTGTTTAAATGCATTTAGTACAGATGCATTTCTGACTGTCTTAAATCACACAAGGAAGAAACTCCAATTTAACTCTATCATTAAAGGGGGCGATGGGAAAAGGAGAGGTGCAAGAGATCCTCCTGGTCTCCTAAAATCAAACATGGGTGGTACTAACTCTGAATGTTAGATCAATGTACATTATTACACCTACTTCTGAAGAACAGTTGGCTTCCCTGTGAATAAGTGCTATTTGTGTCCCAAGTTTCAGAGGCAGCATAGGGAATGTGTAAATCCAGGAGCTCCAGAGTTAGATTCCCTGGCTTTGCATTCCTATTCCTGTGTTTAACAGCCAGGGGAGCCCCTGCTCCTGTTTCCATATCTTTTCAATGGTGATGTTCACAGCACCCACCCCATGAGGTTGCAGTGATGATTAAATGAACACACAAAGTATTTAGATGGATGTATAGCACCTGACAAGGACCCAGTGCAGGTTAGCTGCTAATATGGTACTTCCTAAATAAATAAAAGCATGACAAATTATGCTAGGGTAATTTGGAGAAAAGGAAGTGTCAATATTTTTATTACCATCATTCATCACAGTCTCTGGAGATGAAGAGGTTACAACAATTTCTGGAATTATAGATAGAGGACTTGTTCATGTCCTCTCACGTTTCAGCTGCTTCCTACAGCTTTTAGAGGGGTCAGTGGCCGGAGATGTTCTGCAGTGTCCTTTTGTATATGCTAAACTACTTATATGTCAGTGTTCATTTTTTCCTATTGTTTTCATCCATCAGGAATGATGACTAGTATGTGGATTGTACACAGAGGCAGCATGCTCACATGATTCTTGATCATTGATGTTTTAAAACTTGGGTTAAAAAAGGAGGGGGAGTTCTGACTTGATTTCTCCCTTCTCCATGATAATAGACAAAGGTGGAATGTAAACAATGAATGTTCTTGACCCTTTTATTAAACCAAATCCTGAGGTTATTATTCATGTGTCCCTACTAGAATTTCAAAGAGAATTATAACTCTTAAATTATAAACGTAGATCCTGAAGAAACGTTTCAGAAAAAGGATTAAAAATAAAAACAGGACAGCTTTTAATGCCTGAACTAATAATGGTTTGAGCAGTTTCCATGTCTGGAGTGAAAGTATTAAACACGCAAAGATGTCTTGCCTTTTCTTACCAACCTACCGCTAAGAACCCAGGAGGGCAGCAGTGGGCTAGAAATAGGGTTTCTGTGCCAAATTCTGAAGACAGCCTTTTCTGAGATAATTGGCCTACGGGCTTGTTCCCTGTGCTGGTGTGCTTTTGAGCTCCTTTCGCAGTTCCACCTGGTACAACAAATGCGCCCATGCAATCTCACTTTGAGCCCTGATGAAATTGAATCCTCTGCAGAACACCTCCGCCCTGTTCTATTAAGTGGGAGAGAGTAAGAGTTTCCACAAGATTCAGAGAGTTTGTCCGTATCTTAACTATCCGAGATCTGATTTCCAAATCCTTCTCAAACAATTCATTTCTGTGAAGATATATTAATATCTATTCCAGAAACCTTTTCCGTTTCTAGAAAAAGCTACTCATCTTCTTTTTCCTCGCCTTCTCGTTTCTCCCTCCTGGTGAGGATGTCAAAGGGTCTGTGAGTTGAGAACCTAAGCCAGGTCTCCCCGCGGCGTGCAGGCTAGTCCCCGCGCCCTGGGCCGGTGCATCTCTCCGCCGCAGCGCCCCTTGCCAACCAACTCTGTCCAACTTTCCCTTTCAGACTCCAGCAGGGGCGCCCTCCAGGCAACCGGCTGCGGCGGCCAGAAGCGACCTCGGCTCGGAGACCCCCGAGCTGTTTGCCCAGCGCCAGCTGATCACACTCGCCCGCGCAGCACCCGCCGGCCCCCTCGCAGCCGGGCAGGTTCCGGAGCTCTGTCTCGCGCTCTGCCGCGCCCGCCCACCCTCGGCGTCTCGCGTCCTGCCCTTCCTTCCCCGCCCCAAGCCATCCCACCTCCCATCCTCGCCACCTCTGGGACAGCTCAGCTAAGCCATGTCCCCTCCCTTGCAAACGCAACGACCACCCTCCCACCCCCCAGCACAACCTTCAGCGAGAAAGCCCAGCTGGGTCTAGCCAGTTACACCGGTCGACGAGGGTCTCCATCGCAGCCGGCCGCCCTAATTCACGCTCATTCATATTCATTCTCTTTTCTCTCCGTCCCTCTGTCTCCCCAAAGACTCCTAACTAGACAGGCCGATCCTCCCCAGCGGCACTCCCTTTCATTCTTCCCCTCCCACAACACACACACACACACACACCCGGACCCAGACAGCCCACTCCACTTTCCAGACGCCCACCTCCTACATACTCCCCTCCCCTAAACAGACATTCACCCACTCACCATCTGTAGCCTCCTTCCGCCCCCCGCCCCGCTCCCCCTCCCCAAGAAGCAGACCTGCACAGTGGGACGCAGGGACCCCCGCCAGACGCTCGGGCAGTGCGCGCCGCACCGACCTCCGCCCGCCCCGCCGGGAAACTAACAAAGACTGCGGGCTCTAACCCCGAGCCCAGGAGCCGCGAGCGGCGGCCGCGGGGCCGGGGAGCCTGGGCTGGGCCAGGCGAGGACTACTCCGGAGTCAGGAGGCAGCAGCTGCGGAAGACGCGGATCCCTGGCCCTCAGAGCCGCTCGGACGCCGCCTGCACCATGGGCTGCTGCACCGGGCGCTGCTCGCTCATCTGCCTCTGCGCGCTGCAGTTGGTGAGTGCCCCGCGCGTCCCGGCCCCAGGACAGGTCCCTGCTTCAAGACCGGCCTCTCCGGCTTCCTCTGCGGTTCCGCAACTCCCGGCCGGGGGCTAACGAGTGAGCAGGGCTCCCCGTCCGGCTGGGCTCGCACTGCCCTACCCTCCGCCCGGCTGGGCTCGCACTGCCCTCCAGCCGCTGGCACTCGCCGGGTAGCCACTGCCCTGCGGGAGGGCGCGGTCTCCCTCATGGTCCCGCGCGCTGGGGTTCGCCGCGCTCCCGCCCGGCGTCGCCACGCGGTCCAGGGGTTCCTGTCCAGGAGCAAAGGGAGTGAGCGATTTCCCCGCCCCTTGATCTGACACCTGGCTTTAGCACTCTTCGCGTTCGTGCTGAATTTACAAGGTGACTTGCGGTCTCCTTCTTCTTAGGATGATTTCCAGGAATGTTGCTTAATTACACGATGCGTGGGAATGCCCAGGTTCTGAGGCTACAGAAGCTGCCTCAGTTCTGTTAGTGAAGAGTGAGGTGGTTCTTACCTTCAGCAGGTTGAAAGGTGATGGTAAAGGAGTCTGGGACCTCCAGGAAGGAGGTCAGGCTGTGTGCTTCAGCCCCTGCCCTTTCAATTCGGCTTTGTATTTTGTTGAAATGTTGCATGTTCAGGCGGTGACAGACTGACAGCTGTCATCAAGGAGAGAACAGAGTGAACGGGCTCCATTGGCGCGGTGCCTTGCAGAGGGAGTTGTGTAATGGGAAGTTAGAAACCAGAGTGGAGAAAAAAAGGACCTTTCAGAACAGAGCAAATGCTCCTCTTAATCCCTTTGGATCCTGGACTGGCTCTGTGATCTATTCCATGGTCACTTGAGGTCAAGGCCACAGAACTTTTGAATCAGACTTTGTGTGTGAAAGATTAATAGACATCTCCCTTGCGTTATACTTAAGACAGATTCTGAGTACACTGCCAAGATTTCTTCGAAGCATTGTCTTTTTTCAAGTCACAAATATATAACTAGCATATTTTGACAAGCGAGAGGAAAATGCTTGCAATGAACTTTACTTAGTAATGTCATCCCTTGCAAGACTTATTAACTGAGGGATAAAATCGTGCTTTTTAGTAGTTAGTCTTTGTTCACATGAAGGTTTTAGAATGTTTTCACTTTTCTCTTGCCTCAGTGTGCCAGTGTCTCATGAAAATCTCACTTTGGGTATGCCCTTCATTGTTCACGTAATACGTGTGTAATTTACGTATTCCTAGGTTTGAAACCAGTGACCACTTTTTAATTCTATTGGATAGTGCCTTCTGTCATGTGAAATACTTGAATCAAACGTATTTAATAGTTTTCTTGAAAAATAATTTTAAAAATTTACAACAACATGAATGTTTTCTTTCACTAAGAAGGCAGGAGCTTGAGTTGTACTTTGGTTTTTAGAAATGGACACGGGTTATAAGTTGGAAAAGCTGACTAAACATGTAGTCAGCCCTTGATTAAATGTAAGATTATGGATAGGCCTGCTGGATTGCATAGTCTATAATGCAAAATTTCTATTTTACATGGAATGTAAAGGTTTTTACGTAGCAGATTTATCAATGCAATTACAATTTTCTTAACAGGCATTGAAATATTTGTGATGATAATGTTTTTGAGTTTTCACCCACCAGCCAAGTATGCCCCTCTTTCCAAGTGCACATTCTCAGTTGATACAAATGCAACATATATGTCAAAGCTTATCTCAAAATTCCATTTTTTTTTAAATGAAGTCTTCCTTGGTGCTCCAGGTAAAATCCCTTATATTCCTATAATCTCATAGGACTTCACTTTTTCCTCTGGTATAGAACATTTGGTACTCTCTTAAGTAATTTTAAGTCATTTACACATATTTCTTACTATTAGATTGTAAGCAGCTTGAGGGCAGAGACCATAGCATTAGTGATATTTGCACACTTTGCAAGTTATTAGAGCTCATATTAGAAGCTGAAACATATTTCCTGAATTTCCGATAATACCTAATATTTGCAATCCATACAGGGTTTTGACATAAACATTTCTTTTGACTTTTAAAACTATCCTCTGATGTAGATACTCATTTCATTTGTTTGTAGGTGAGGAAGTTGATATTCATAGAGGTAAACAGGTTTTCCACAATCAATAGTTTTTGGATGATAGAGATATTGGGGTGATGGTAAGCATTTAACAACTGGATTGTAAACAAAACAAATGTATACATTATAATATCATACAAAATAATCTTTATGTGAAAGATGTGTAGCTCTCAATTGACAAATGTGAGCAATAGTACAATATGTAATAGTCTTTAGTGTGTATTCCATATAGGCATTTCATTCTGGCAGAATCTGCTGAGTTTGACAAACTCTTAGTTTTGTAGTTCTGACATGAATGCTGGTGAATATTTTTGTTTGCTTTAAAAAGAAAGAGGAAAGTGAAACATGGAAGAAAATATTGGAACTTATCTCCATCAATTACATGAACAGATTCTTGGCTGACATGGATAATAGTTTTCAAATACTTAAAAATTACTTCCTCAGTTTCTTTCATGCTATTGACAATGTCTATGGACATGACACATTTTTAGGTTTAATATGCACTATTTAAAATATTTCTCCTTTATTTAAAAAGTCTAGGCAATCAACAAAACAGTAAGCAACCACTGATTTGCAGAGTTTGCCAAATTATTCGGTGAAACTACTCCCACCTTGGTCAATTTCAAATGTATCTTTATATAGCATTTCCATCATACACATAAAATAGGCATAACCTCAAAAGCATTGATAAAGTAAAAGCAAATAATTAGGAAAGAATAAGTGTTACCTATTCAGTACCTTTTTTAGTAGGATTTCTTTAAATTTAAGTTTGCATAATTTAATTTTTAATAATGGCTTAACAACTGGCTCACAAAATTCCTAAAAATCTAACAAAACCAGTTCTAGCTCTAAGCCCATATAAGCCTGCTTCAGCGTATAATAGGGTAGGGACCCCTGTTTCCCAGACCTGGTGCACTTGCCACTGAAAGCAACTGACTTTTTTGCCCTTTTATGTTTTTTTCTGCTTCCACCAACTGTCAATGGTGGGTCTGAGGCAGTACGCTAGTGTGGGTGTTGAAAGGGGATGGCATTGGGAGAACACATCTGCTGAAGATAATCTACATGCTTATGACTAAGGCTCGACTGGGGAGGTCATTCCACACATAGCACATTAGCTCCTCCTAAAAGTTAAAGAAACAAAAGCTTTTTATTATTTTATTCCCATTTTATCTGAGCTACTGTCTGGAGTGGGGAAATAAAAACTCAAATTGGAAAATCTATTTGGAGAAAACATACCCTTCTCAAGCGTGTATCTGTGGATGAGCTTTGGTTTGCAAAATCTCAGTCACTTTCTACTTTTTTTACTCGACTGCTCTGGCTGACTTTCATCATTACTTTCTCTCCAGTCTTCTGCTCCAAAGATGTTTGTCCCATGGTTTTCGTTTGTGCTCCTCCTGATTTTGCTAGATGAAATTAAAGAGAAAGTAAAAAGCATTAATACAGGTCCAAACTATGTGAAAAAAATCTTTTTTTTTTTTAAAGAAGAGATTTGTTACTGTGTCACTGATTCATGAAGTCATCCAAGAGCCTTTAAGTATACTTTTTTGAAAGGATACTTTCAGTTTTGCTTGTTTTATAATACTGTATATACTTATCATTAGATATGTGTAATCTATACATAAAAAGAAATACTTGATTATATGCTTTTGGCACATTATTTTCAGGTACCACAGTTAAACCTTAATTGCATGGTTTCAAAGTCTGGCACGCCACATCTATTTCAGTGCCATTTTCTGAGATGAGCCTCAGTGAAGCACTGAACTAATTTTGGCAGGCATTGTTCCCATAGAACTTTAGACATCTGTCCATCCTCACAAAGGTCAAGGTCAACCTCCAAGGCATGTTCATGAGGCTCACACCACATGGTTTCAAGATTTACTTGAAGTAGATGGTTCAACATTTCTTCTAGAGGACACACTAAAATGATTTTAGACCATATTTTTGAAGCTGAGACATGTTTCTGTTTTTGCTTTACAAACCAAATTTCTTATTTTTATTTTTAATTGGCAAATAATGATAGGATATACTTATGAGGTAATCTGATGTTTTGATATATGCATAGAATATGGAATAATTAAAACAAGCTAATTTACACATTAATCACCTCACTTTGTTTTTTTTTTTTTTTTTTTTTTTTTTTTTTTTTTTTTTTTTTTTTTTTGGCAAGACATTTGAAATTTACTCCCTTGGCAATTTTGAAATATACAACACAGTGTTATTAACCATAGTCACTATGCTGTGTAATAGATCTCAAATGAGAGACCTTATGTTTGTAACCCTGACCAGCATTAGTTTGAATATGTCCTTCTGATACATATTCATAAGAAAGTTCTGCAGTTCTCATCACTTAAGCCTCCCTGACATATAACTAAGAAATTTATAACATCCATCAGACATTTTCTCTCTTAAGCTTCAGTTACTTATTTCACCTCTTATTTTATTGACAAATACTTCATATTCTTTCGGTTAAAACCTAATTTGTTTTTAATTTTTTAGGTTGAAACTTCCTTTCCCAAATTCTCCCTTTAGCTTTCTTGCCCTGCCAAGAGATGTATTGAATTCACCTTCTACAATGCCTGATTAATCTTCCTTAAGTGGAAACCATCCTGTCACTCCTCTTCAAAGAAAAAAAAAAAAAGTCTCTGTTTAAGCTGCCCTTTAATACCTTACCAATATAGAATTATTTCCTACTTCTCCAGGTCTGCATTTTTAGTTCCATAGGGAAAAATTTCTATTCCATGAACAACACTTATTCATACCCTTGAACATGTGTAATTTAGGCTTCATGAAGCAAATTTCAAGGTTGTAAAAGAAAGAAAACAGAAATGAACAAAATTCACTAAAATAGTATTTATATATATCTGTGTTTTTTAAATTCTTTATAAAATAATGAATTGCTTTTGGTTTTTTTCAAATTATA